TCTTATGTTGAAGGGCTCAATTACAACCTTCTTAGCATAAGTCAGTTTTGTGATAAAGGTTACTCCTTGGAATTCTGCAAGGACATGGCATCTCTCAAGAAAATCTCCACACATGAAGTCATTCTCACTGGGAAGAGAATCAGACCATTTAGAAGATGAAATCATCATTCACTACTGTGAAGAAAACGGAATTCTTCATCAGACATCTGCAGCAAGGACACCTCAACAGAATGGTGTAGCTGAAAGAAGGAACAGAACCCTGAAGGAAGCAGTGAGAACCATGCTAGCAGAAGCATCCTTACCAAAGAGGTTCTGGGCTGAAGCAGTTAACACAGCCTGCTACACTCAAAATAGGAGTATGATTTATAAAAGGCACAACAAAACTCCCTATGAATTGTGGAACGGGAGAAAGCCTAATATATCATATTTCCATATTTTTGGGAGCAAGTGCTTTGTGTTAAACAACGGGAAGAATCATCTGAACACTTTTGATGAGAAATCAGATGAGGCCATCTTCCTAGGATATTCCATGGTAAGCAAGGCATCCAGAGTCTTCAACAAAAGAACCATGATTACGGAAGAGTCAATACATGTTATTTTTGACGAAAAACATGTGGATGACAAGCCATCAAAGCATGACCATGAGGTTCTGGATCTATCAGACAAGGATGAAGAAGTCAATAAAGGAGATAGAATGAAGCCCACGGAATTCATTCCATTTAGAAGTCTGCCTCTGAAGGTTTCACAGAGAAATCCGGATTCAGACAGTGCTGAGCCTTCCGGAAATCTTGGCCAGCCTTCCAATATTCTAGATATCTCAAACGGCGACAATTCCGGAAATGGCAACTCAGTGCCAATCCATCCGGAAACACCAACAACTTCTGTTCTTCAACCAGAAGCTGAACTAGATCAACCAGTCAATCCCAATCAACACTATCTTCGTTGGTTAAGGGATCATCCTCCGCAACAGATCATTGGAGATATTCAATCTGGTGTTCGCACAAGGAGTGCCCAACAGAATCTAGAAGCTATGCTTGCTTGTTTCATCTCACAAGTAGAACCAGAGAATATTGAAGAAGCTATAGCTGATTCTGATTGGATCAATGCAATGCAAGAAGAAATCAACCAGTTTTCCAGAAATGATGTCTGGAAACTTGTTCCCAGACCTACTCATCAACATGTCATTGGGACAAAGTGGGTCTTCCAGAACAAGATGGATGAAAATGGCGTTGTTGTCAAAAACAAGGCCCGGTTAGTTGCAAAAGGATATTGTCAAGAAGAAGGTATAGATTTTGATGAAACCTTCGCTCCAGTTACAAGACTTGAAGCTATAAGGCTGTTTCTAGCCTTTGCTACTCATAAGGACTTCAAAGTCTATCAAATGGATGTCAAAAGCGCATTTCTCAACGGAAACCTAGAGGAAGAAGTGTATGTAGAACAGCCTCCAGGATTTGAGTTACACACTAAGGGAGATCAGGTGTATAGACTCAAGAAGGCGCTATATGGACTCAAACAAGCACCAAGAGCTTGGCCTTCAAATCAAACAGAGAAGTGAAGGCACTCTCATCAATCAAGCAAAATATACAAGGGATCTTATCAAGAAGTTCAATGTTGATCAGAAGTCATCCGTTTCTGTCCCCATGAGCACATCCACCAAGCTTGATATGAATGTAGATGGAAAGGATGTAGATCAAACTCTCTACAGAGGGATTGTCGGATCTCTACTTTACCTTACTGCAAGCCGTCCGGATATTTCATATGCAGTAGGTGTTTGTGCCAGATTCCAGTCAAAGCCAAAGGAAAGCCATCTGATAGCAGCTAAAAGGATTCTCAGATACCTCAAAGGAACTCAGAACATGGGTTTGTGGTATGGTAAGAGCAATTCATTTGAGTTAGTGGGATACTCAGATTCTGACTTTGCCGGATGCAAAGTTGACCGGAAAAGTACATCTGGTACTTGTCAATTCATTGGTGGAAATCTTGTTTCTTGGTTCAGTAAGAAACAAAACTCCATTTCTACATCTACAGCAGAAGCAGAGTACATTGCAGCTGG